AAGTGGACTTTTACATTTCAAGTGAACTCTGCAGCACTTGTAGCGCTTTTTGAACACGGTTTTTTGCATGCTGTAGGGGCTCTCACGTAGACCACAATACTGTGTTTCATTTTCGCTGAGCGGCCCCTGAAGGCCAAAAAAGGTCGAAAAATTTGTTAAGAATGGGTGGTTTTTACTGCCTTGGAGTGACGTTTCGGACTTGTAGAAAAGACCACCTGCATATTGAAGGGTACTGATGAAGATGATATCGAAAACAACGTGAAATTCGCTCAAAATTGAAGTACTGTCAGTGGTAGTGCTGAAGAAAGTGTGGGGATTTCATAGCCAGGTAGCATCCTGTCTTCCGCAGCGAGGTGGACTAGAGCTGGGAGGACTTTGTGGTTCGACTCCGCTCCTCTGCAAGCTTTGCATTTTTGATAATCACCTCCAAATTGGACGCCAAATTGCTTCAGCGTCAAAACTAACGCTATATTCACATTCAGGACCGTCAGTAGCCCTTGCAAATGGGTTTTCTATCAAAAATTGGCGGAAAAAGTTCGCAGCGCCAAACTGGCGCCAAATGGCGCCGACGTCAAAAACGAACGTCTTATCCGTGATTGAGACCTTGATTTACCATTTCTTAACCATTTCTTTGGCATTCGCGGGGCCGCTCAGCGGAAATGGACCACGCTTTTATAGTCCACGCATAGGCGCCTATAAGATGAAAACCAATTTGAAAAAGCGTTCCACACCCTGAACGACCTCCCTTGTCAGTGAGAATCAAGCGTACGTTAGAAAGACTTTAGGTAAGGTTTCCGGTTCATGAAATGAGGTCGGCATCTCCTGAGCGAAACGAGGAAGCAGTGTTGGCTGCCACTGCTAGATCTCTGTTCCATAACTTAAGAGGAAGAAGATTTTTGACTCCGTTGCAACCACATTTCACAAAAGGATGTCTCGATAATCAAGTGAGAAGACGGTCGCGGTAGGCAACCTAATGTACAGGTGAGAGTGACTTTGAAACCGGACATCAACGGAAAAAGTCACGCTTCTATGATGTGAAACCGTATAGGAGATATACAGGGGGGCCAAAAAAAGAGTCACTTTGCCTATGGCGCATATCATCAAACTTTTCGTCGCAAAGGATGCCGCTGTTATTGGGAGTTATACGGCAAATTATTCCTTAGATGTCCCCCCCCATAAGCAGAATCAGGCCCACCTTCGCTGCGTTCACCGTCTCCAGAATATGACGTCATCTGTCATCACCGTCGAGCTTAAGGAGGCCTACAATAATCGCTCCATTCTGAAGCTGCTACATAAATTCTTCAATCGGATAACTGGTGAATGACTTCTTAGAGACACTAGCTCTGACTATGCAAAATGGCTTTTGACCAGCGTTTCAGAGACGTCGTAATCATCTATGGTTTCTCGACGACCCCGTTGAGCTCGTACCGCGAACAAAAAGCATTTTGTTTCATGGAATCTTCTGGTGTCGTCGGTGTAGAAGGCCACTATGCAATGTTTTTGATAGAATAGAATGTGCTCTTCAATATGCAATTGAGCTCATTCGGTTTGGTTTTGGCAAAGTGTAATTAATTCTGTTTTGAATGTGAGTAGGAGTGACTCTTTTTTTTTTGGCCCCCCCCTGTATAGTTGCTTGAGTTCTCTGGGCGAGTCGAAGAGATAAGCTGAAATAGCGCACAGACAGTTCGCGCCGTATTACCTAAAAAAACGAACAATCAATCATACTGATATGTTGCCAGTCTGATCGTTAAGGAGGAATTCGGGTCATATTTAAAACTAGGTGCACGATACACAAGGACTCACCTGTTCGGGAAAAAAAACGCAACAGAAAATTGGTCAGGTACTTGGCACGCTCTGTCTTTCGCTGCTATATGGCTCAGTCTGGACGTCGTAATGATTCTATCAGTCGTGCAGTTATTGGGGCGGAAAGGAATCAAATATCCACGATGGTGGGCCAACTTTTTTAAGTGGTCGAACTTTAGGTCGAGACCGAAAGAGATCTTCGAGGAGGGCGTCAGTGCTTCGCATACCAAAAGTAGGAAAGTCAGCGACACGGATGGAGAAGATATTCCAGATTGATGTGCTCCGTTTCCGTTTTTATAGAGGAATTAATTGTAGATCGAAGACGAATCTTATATTTAGCCAACCTATCATATCACCATAGATATGTTATGATTCGTAAGCTTCTTGCGAGTTTCTATCTTTTTTGCAGCTGCAAACTGAGTTAGAATTTATGCATGGTTTGGCACCCGTGTGTTAAAGGTTCAGTGTCTCGTTGGAAATCACAATAATGCAAAAACGTTTTTGGAAATAGTGATGGAACAGTCGCATATGCATTAACGACTTATGATTAGTCACGACTTCCACTGAACAGTTCAGTTTGTGGTCGACTCGGCGGTAAAAACATGTGTGGCAAATTTTGACGAGATAGTGGTTAACCGTCGAGTTCTGGTGGGAAAACCGTTTTTAAAAAACACAAATTACGGATAACGGATTACTAATAGTGGATCGTTGGAAGAGGTCGTGTTAAAATATAGGTTGCACCACTTATGGATATTTGCTGGTGAAGTACGTTAGTGTATTTTGCCATGTTTTATGTTTTCATCGACTTGATCATCAAGTTGGCGGGCCTGACACTGCAAATGAATTACTGAAGGTCTCTGTGTTTTTTGTTAGACCGCATGTTCGGCTTCATCAACAGCGCATAATAATCGCATGTCATTATTACCTCGAGATTGGCTATTACTACGCATAGGGAGTAATAGCGTTGTCTCTTCTGGGGGTGCAGGGTGCCTAGATGAGGACACCGCTATTTTGCGCGGAGCACGCCTTTTTCCTCTATACCGTACCAGGAAAGGTCATTTGGTCAACCCGGCCATTTGAAATGAGATGTATATGTGTATACGCGCCTTGGGACGCTGAGCTCAAATATGTGTTCCTTATCTGCTGAACTCTTCTCTGAAAGGAATTATGAAGCAGAAAAGCGCAGGGGCTGTGGTCGAGGCTCACGAAAAAGAGGTCAGGGGATCAACTCCCTGGCGAGTTTGTTCTTTTGTCCGTTTGAGTAAGAAGCTAGTAAGGACTCGTAAAGTGTAGTCCGATATGCTTGCGTATAGTTAACAGTAAAAAGAATTTGAGGGCAATTAATAATGAACTTGGGCGGCACCGCTCCTCACCACTTTGGGCGCTTGTAGCGCAGGCGCCAGGCATTTTTGCTTCGAACAAGTATGATATTCGTAATCAGGGAGTCAGACTCTCCCTTTGAGCGAACTTCTAGCGAATTCTGAAATTTTGACCTAACCTCGAAAAATTTGGGCAGTCACTTACTCACCGATCCACCAATCCATTACAAAAGGCTGGCACTTGGATAGAATAAATTTTTTGAAAACTTTTCATAATAGACAAAAAATGTGTCTGGCTTGCCCGTCCGCATCATCCAAAGATCTACAAACCATTATTTCCTAATACAACACCTTCTCTCCCCTTTCCCCCGTCGTCCATGATTGGTCAACCCAAAAAAGTGGAGTTTGAGGAGTGGTAATCCCATCACTGCCCCGCTTTTTCTCAATTATTTCGTCGCCTCAGATTTGGCGAAAAACTCGCTGTAAGGGGTAGTTTGATCCCCTGAATACGAATATCATACCTAACTTGCCACGGAAAAGCATAGCACCTGCACTACGGGCACCATAGGCTTTCACAGACAAGTAGTGCTTAAGTTTAAGAGGGTCAGCTTGCAAACTCTTCGTAGATGTAGCGTCGGGCGACCATTGGTAAAATAACAGATTCAAAAAGGCTTTTCAGCCATGTTGAAAAAAAAAAAACACAACAAACACCGTAAAAGGAGAACACGAGTAACCCCGACCCCCTCCAGTGAAAGCTCGACGCTTACCCAAACTGCGCTACTAGCTCAGCGTCACATCTGCCATCTGGTTATACTTTTTGGCTTAACTTTTGTAGTGCGCGCTCAATGTGGATTGCAGGATTTAAAACACTGAAATCAACAGGCGGCAAACAGAAATCTTGCCCCGTAATTCTTTCAGAGAGAGTTCGCAAGATAAATGAAATAAGCAGAGGTATGAGTACAGCGTCATGTTGAATTTACAGAATAGTGACCCATTCATCTCATTTGACCGGACGTGGCTATGACATTCCTGGATTTAAGAACATACGCCGAGGCCCAATTTAGGACTCCATGCATGCCATGCTGGAGTCCAGTGTGAAAGCGCTAAGTCTTTTAATCTGATGTCAACTATGCAAAGTGATTGGAAGTTCAATGGATCGCGCAACTAGTTAGAAGTAGACCTGACCTGGGAGGAGAAACGACGTCCCCAAGGCTGATTAGGAACTCTGATCCACTCACTTAGTTTGTGTCAACTAGTTCTAAATTTCACCCACATTTTAATTTATCATAACTCTGATAGGCTTTTCCTTTCCGCTTACGGACTGAACAAGACTTTTTCCAGGAGATATCGGAAGGTGATCATCGAATCGGATAGGTCTTTCCGGAAGGAAAAGGAAATGATAAAAGTAAAACACAAAATAAAAAAACAAAAAAAAAAAACGCAAACACAAAAACAAAATAGTTTGTAGAAAAAAGCGTCACAGATCGAATACCATCGGCGTCTGTACAATCAGTATGTCACCAGGTTTATGGCTCTAGTCCTCACATTACGACTGAAATATTAAAAGATAATTCATGGAACCTGAATCACTCATGACTTCAGTACCAATTTAATGATCTTATTGATATAAGGAAGTGGCGTGAACGAGACTGACAAAAGAAAAGGTGAAGTTATCTGCATAGTCGGCGAGGTCAATATATTACACTATGCAATGTTTCTAATTTGATCTCAACAATAAATTGTTGTTCTATCAACGATTATAAAACCTGAGTTGGATGAGACAGAGGTCAAACGAGTTACTACATCAATGGACGTTCCTTTAAATCGTCTTTATCTATTAATACTTCCGTGATAGTCCGTGTTTCAGTATGTTTCGCCATGGTCGACAGCTTTGCTGTGAATGGTGCTGAAGTGAACTTCAAAAGTTTCAGAGTGACAGTTCTTCTTCAGCAGATGAGGCTGTGGGAGGGACCTCCCCTAGTATACTGATACCGACAGACGAAAGGTCTACAACAGATCTTACGAGTATTGATGAACAAGACGAGGATGACTACGAAAGTTATGAGGACGAGAATGAGCAGGAACAGGAAGATGATCGTGACAAAGATGAAGGAGGAGAAGAAGTGGAAGATGAAGATAGCACAGTGCCTTCGGTAACAGAAGAAGGAAAAGAAGAGGAGGAGGGCAAGGATAGCACCACGACTTCGACAACTATCTCAACAGGGGGATCTTCTGCGGAGACCGACACATTTGAAACAACGGACGAAGACGGTGAAGATACGACGCCAACAGCAACCACAACCCTAGCGCGGCTTGAGAGTACCTTGACTACAATGACTGAGGTGGGTTAAAATGATTGATCAGTTCAGTGATCAGTTGATTGGTAATCCCTTCAGATCGTTCAGATGTCATGTTTGCAGGCAACAACCAGAAATACCCCACCAACGACATCACGACCTTGCTTTGATAAAATCAACCCAAATACCGGCAGATCTGATTGTCCTTTCCGAAGAAATTTGTGTATGGAGGGGAGGTAAGTGAAGAGATTTCAAGCAACAGCACTCACAATCAGTTTTAAGTAAGAGCTAGTGCTTATTTAGTTGCTGATTCCCATGTTGAGTACCTCGTTTGCGTTGTATTCCAGATATATACAGCTTATGCGAGAACAATGCCCTCGTACATGCGGTTTCTGTGGCTTAAGAAGAGTCCAAAAAGCAGAACCTGGTGTTAGTTGTTCGATCTCACACTCCTACGCGACATCTTCAGAAGTTTTAAACTTTCAGATCGATGCATGCAACGACTTGATCAACCCTCGAACAGGACGTTCCGATTGCCCGAATCGTCGGCCGCTTTGCAGGAACAATGTCTATCAAAAATTGATGACGGAGCAGTGTCCTCGCACTTGTGGATTTTGCAATACAAGATTTGTCAGGAGCGCCACACAGACTCAAAAGGGTGGGTATAAGAACACCGCCCAACGCACTGATGATTGCTGAAAGTACCCTAACTCCACATCTAAAGACATCTAGAGACGACCGTAACCGGCCCATAGGTGCAATTCACAGAACGATATTTATTTTTAGCGGTAACTTCTGTATAGGGGTTATTTGATGGGCTGATTACGAATATGACTCCGCTTTTGGCCTTAACGTTGTTCAACGCGCTTGGTTAGGGAGCACAGACGAGCAGAAAAGAGGCGCCAAGTAGCGCCAGCGCCGAGAATGAATAT